TTTCTATGATTGCAGTTTGCATATAGAAGAAAAAAGATGGTATTGGCACCGTCCAACGGAAGGTGACCAGGGTCATGCAGAGCTGGCCCTTTGCACTTTTTATCAACAAGAGCTTTGTGTGGGTTCAGGGATAATTTTGCAATCATAGGATATTGTTAAGGGTTTTTCTTGTTTTTGTTTCTAAAAGGCTCGTCATATTGCAAAAATGGAAGATAAATCTAAGCTTGGGTAAACCCATCAAGATCAACCAAACCTCAAGATGTGTTTTGAGGATTCGATATGTTTGTGAGATTAGTTTAGGTCTTTAAATTCTATGTTAAATTAATTTACAAAAGGGCAACCTTTTTATAGATGATTGATACATCTTCAAGGTAGTGGTTTTGTGTGTATATGGTATAAGCAGTATAATGTAGTTGTTAATCAGTAACCATATAATGTTGTGTGAAGATGAATAGATAAAAAGGAAAACATTCCACCTGTAATAGTTGACTAGAGATTTTAATGTTCAAATATAGTTATTTAATATTACATAAAACGTTGAGTATCATTAATTGTTATAAACTAACAACCTTAGTCGGAGTTGAGTAAGCAATACTTTTCAACATAGTTTGATTAAACAATAATTAAAAAAAAAGTAAAAAATTAAACTACAAGTCCGAAGCAGGAGGTTTCTAATTGGAAGGGAAGAAAGCTGTCAGAAAGCCCTTGTTGCTATTCTTTTTTTTTTCTGCCCAAACCCAATAATCGACTCCCTTTTCATCTACCATTGTAAGCCTCTAACAAAAACACCATTATAATGAACATTGCTAGATGTTACTGCTTTTACTAAAATGATTATAATGAAATTAACTTGGATATTTTACTTGCTCGAGGCAACTTCTTGATGAAGTGTAAAGTATACGTAATCACAATGCTAGGCACTTCAATCTCCTCATGTGTAGCATTTTCTTCTACGCAATTATTTGAAGTTACAACCATCTATATGCAGGCGTAACATCAAATAATCTTTGCATAAACTTATTAATAGTTGACATTACACGTCCACTTGGAACAAAATTCATGTCTTTTGTGAGTGTGTATGTGTGGTAAGAATAAAACAGTAGAACTTACTAGCATGTAATGTCACTTTCATATCATTCTTACACAAGACACCTGTAATGCTAGGCTCGCAATGGCTCATCCCCGTCGTCGACATTCTCGGCATTCTGCGCTCCAACTAATCTTGTCTCCGGCATTCTTAGCATTCAGTTCTCGACATACATTTCTTTTCTTTTGGTTTTCGAACAGAAAGAAAAAACAAGAGCAGCTAAGGATGAAATTAATTAGAAAAAAGACTTTTAACCCTAGCAAATCGTACAGACCAGTTATTGTGTATCATTAGTAGTCCCTACACTCCTGGTTCTTGAGTAAGGACCAAAAGTGGTGGCGTTAGTTATAATGATTATGCTGAGCTTTGTGCTAAAAAAAGTTGTCTCCGAGGTCCACCAATCTCTCTCCAAAGTTGTTTTAAACTTATCTATCAATGAGGGTGTTTATGTCTTTTTTCATCACAGCCTCCACCTTTTTTCTTCAAAATTGGTGTTTGTAGGTAGGAAAAGAGAAAAGTTAGACAAGTTTGAGCTTCCAGCAAATATAAAGTTTTTGCCAGATCCATGGAAACTAAATCTGGATTAGTGACAGCCGCACTCAAGTTAAAGAGGGAACAATTGAAGGCCAAATTTAAGGATGATTCACAAAAGCTATACGAGTGATTGATTTGATGCACGTGAACCCTTGTTTTAGGGCCTAGTAGTGAGGAGGATAGATTGTCTGTTTACTATTTTTTATTTGTTATGGTTAGGTGTACAAGATTCATTATAAATTTTTATTCACAGGTTTGCCACTAGGAAACTATTCAACGAAATGAGTTAATTACCGCTCGGAAACTATTTATATCGCCGCCGCCGCCGCTTGCGCGGTACACCACTCGTGTATATATATTTGTGTGTGTGTATATATATATATATGTGTGTGTGTGTGTGCATACACACACACATTATTTAAGAAAGAAAAGATTGAGAGTAATGCCTTACAGTTAGCTGGGGTTATTAATCTTTTCTTCTAGGTTAATTTCATTCTTTCGCTGCTCTTAGTTTTCTTTTGTTCGAAACCAAAGGAAAAAATATATGTCGAGAAATAGCTGCTGAAAATGCCGGAGACGGAGATGAGTTGGAGCGCAGAATGCCGAGAATGCCGCCGACGGGGATGAGCCGTTGCGAGCCTAGCATTATAGGTGTCTGGGTGTAAGTATAATATGAAAATGACTTTTCATGCTAGTAAGTTGTACTGTATTTGCAAATTAAAGAGGTGTTTTAACTTATATTCAATGATTATGTTGAGCTTTCTATTGGGATAGTAGTAGTGTTTAACTGTTTATGTCTTGATGTAAAGGTGACAGGAAATTTAAAGTATAGGGTGAAAGTGTAATAATTCATTCTAAATTATTATTTTCACGCACACTGTCATCAACACGACGCAAAAGCTCGATAAAATGATGCTCAGAACAACAATGGCTGCTCTGTTTCACCCCACCACCAAGCCGTACTCTTTACCCCTCAAGGCTTTCGTATCACACTCGCTTCACAAAACCCCAGTGGTTAATAATTCGACAAAGCTACCCTCGAGCTGAAAGAACGATCTTATCCATCAACACACCTCATTCTCTATCATCTACACAGTTCCCCAAATTTCGAACGACACGACTTTGATTTGGACAACAGTTACTTGTCATGCTCAATGCCCAATTACAAGCGCCCTCTCAAAATTGCAGTTCTTCTCAGTGGTGGCGTTGATAACAGTGTCGCTCCTCGCCTCCTCCACGCATCCGGACACTCGTGCACCGCTTTCTACCTTAAAATCTGGTTCAAAGTGCGTATTCTTTTCTTTTGATTGACATTACATTGCATATAAGAATAAAATCATTCAGGTTTATGCCCACAATGTCTGGTTTCAAATATAAACTTAATTTTGTTGGTTATCTAAAACTTCAAATTGTAAGTTTTTGCAAATTTGCTCATCTCTTGTCGGATGATACATCTGCTCCAATTCAAGAATTTAAAATCTATTTTGTGATGGATGATAGGATTGAAATGAACAAAACATCTCCTCTCTTATTAGTTTCTTATTTTACTTTACCCTTCTCTTTGTCTTTGATCCTTTTGAAGTTTGAAACCTATAATTCCTTTGCTAGTTCTAGTACTGAATTCGTTCGTAGGAAGATTTCGATAACTTTTGGTGAATGTCCATGGAAAGAGGATTTAAAGTACGCAAAAGGTTTTTGCAATCAGGTTGCTTTCTCACCTTCATATTATCCATCTCATTTATGTTCAAATTTCGTAAGTGCTAACTGGATTTGAAGGCTCAAAAACACTTCCCTGCTTTGTTTTAACAAATTAACTTCTTGATTCTATCACTCAAATCCCTGATTATGTGATCTTTTCTTGTTTCTTCCAAGTTTGATTAGTATGAAGGAAAATATCAACATTTTTTTTCAGGTTGATGTAGCACTGGAAGTTGTACACCTGATGAATATTAGGACAAAGTGGTTAGTCACACCCCTCTTGATGCATTTTCTCACAATCATCATCATCAATTGAACTTATTGCTTACAAGTTACAATGTTGCAGGTATCTTACCTTATTGATGAGTATAAACGTGGACGTACACCTAACGATGATGTTATTTGGAATAAAAGATCAAATTTGGTGCATAATCATATTTCTTGCTTTCATCTTCTATTGTTCTCATTTTCATTAGTTTCATTTTTATTTTATATTTGTAGGTGCGTTCATGGATGCCATCAGTAACATGGATTTTGAGTTTGTTGCTTCTAGACATTATGCAAAAGTTATTCACCACCTTACAGATGAAACCAATGAGCTTTTATTTCTTCAGCTGTCAAAGGATACGGTAAAGATATGCTCTACTTATTTTCATTACCAACTTACTTACCTGTCATTGAGGGATACATGTTAGAATTTCAGGTGAAGGATCAGACCTACTTTCTTTCATGTCTCTCACAAGCTCAGCTTAAAAGACTAGTGCTTCCTCTTGGATGTATTCCAAAAGTAAGTAAGTTTGCTTTATGAAACACATAACAGAATTCAAGAATTTACTATTGAAACCAATCAAATTATCATGATGAAGTCCGAAGGCTTGCCTGGAAATTTGATTTGCCTAACCAAGAAAGAAGGGATTCACAGGGAATATGCTTTCTTGGGAAGGTATGTTTATGTTATGTTTGTTAAAAAAATCCCAACTTTGGAGATGAATTATATAATATATATATATATATATATATATATATATATATATATATATATATATCTATAGTGGAAATTCATGTAAGTCTCTACACATTAGGTTGAGGAATTTGTTGGAAACATATTGGTGAAAAGGAAGGTATACTATAAAAGGAAGGTATACTATTAGAAGCAAGCTGAAAAGGTGATTTTTAGGAGTCCACAGGGGCTTCTGGTTTTACAAAACTTGTCAACACCAATTTGGGGTCTGCAGGAGTACCATGGTAAACCTTTTATTATTATTATTATTATTATTATGCTTATATATTTATTATTATTATGTAAAATATTTTAAAATTTATTTATTTATGAAAAAAATGCATATCATGTTTCCATGCAGGTATGTTGTTGAGAAAGATGTAAAAAATAATGTGTTTGTTTTATCAAGAAACTATTATTCGGTTGATAAAAGAAGGCGATCATTTCGTGTTGGATCATTTAGATGGATCGACGGATCTCCTCCTCACAACTTAAACCACTTAAGATGCAAGGTAAACATAACATTACCTGACTTGAATTTTTCACTTAATAACAGACTTAATATACATTTACACGTGTTTTGACAGGTTTTGCGTGGACTCGGTTTTCTATGATTGCAGTTTGCATATAGAAGAAAAGATGGTATTGGCATCGTCCAATACCTGAAGATGATCAGGGTCTCGCAACTGGCCCATTTGCAGCTTTTATCAACAAGAGCTTTGTGTGGGGTCAGGGTAATTTTGGAATCATGGATGATGCTAAGGGTTTCCTGTTTCTGTTTCTGACAAGGCTCGTCATATTGCAAAAAATGGAAGATAAATCTAAGCTAGGTCAACCCGTCAAGATCAAACCAAAACCTTAAGACTGTTTGAGGGATTCGATAGGGTTGTGAGATTAGTTAGGTCTAATAAATTCTATGTAAAATTAATTACAAAAGGCAGCATTTTTATTAGATGATGATACATCTCAAGGTAGTGGTTTTTTGTAATGGTATACGTTGAGATGTATTTGTTAATCAGTAACCATATAATGCTTGGTGCAGATGAATAGAAAAAGGAAAAACATTCCAGTAATAGTTTGACTAGATATTAAATTTCAAATATATTTATTTAATATTACAGAAAACTTGAGTATCAATTAATTGTAAAAAACTAACAACCTTACTTTGGATTGAGTAAACAATACTTTTCACATAGTTTGATTAAAAACAATGAAAAAAATTAAAAAAAATTAAACTACTAGTCCAAAGCAGGAGGTTTCTAATTGGAAGGGAAGAAGGTGTCAGAAAGCCCTTGTTGCTTTTTTCTTCTCCAACCAATAAATCAACTCCCATTATCGTTCTACCTTGTAAGCCTCTAAAAAAAAACACCATTAATGATGAATTTATGATGTGCTGCTTTTACTAAAATGATTATAATGTGTTGAAAATATACGATCTGATTACCAGAATTAAGGCTCGGATACCAGTTACTGGTGACAGATATATATATATTTAAGGAGATAAGATGCGGAAAAAAAAGAAGTGCGGAATAAATATAAACTGGAAAGCTATAATGACTGAAAGTATAAATGAAATAAATGACAGTATTTAAATGACGTAAAGCTGTAATAAAATTATATAAATATATAAATATATAAAGTCGGTTCGTCAATAAATTGACTGAACTGGTTAGAATTGGACTGATCTTAATAGACTTGTGTCTCTATTTGTTCAAAGTTCAATCCGGTAAGTAACAATAAGTTCTTTTTATTTGTAACAATGAATTGTTTACAAAACGATACAAAATTACAAGGGTAATGTTTTTGTATGTGGGTATGGGGTGTTTTAAGGTGATTTGATGAGGTTGAAGTGGGTATTTGGAGGGTGTTTGGAGAGTATTTGGAGGTGGTGTTTGTTTATGTCTTCTGGTAGATGAGTGAGGTGAAGGGAATTATTACAAAACAAAGACTAAAACCCACTACACTTCCACTCTCCCTCAAAAACTACGTATACATACTGTATATGCAAAAATGCATCAACAACTCTTCCACTGGTGTTTGTTTATGAAAAAGAAAATAGCTTGGTGGATGGAGTAGCGTGTCGAACACTGGGTAGGTGGGGTTCTTTTTCTTTGTGACAATTCTCTCAATCGACAGTACAGATGCCCGAGATATTATATATATATATAACATACAGATATCATATATATACATACATATAATATATATATATATAGCTATACAACATACATACCTATACGTACATATATATGTACATATAAGAAAAGAAAATATCTTAAACACACTTGAGTATGTATGGTGCTAGCTTGTAGCTTTTAATCAAGTGGTAGTAATGGGAACGTGGCTTTCTTTTACTGAATGTTTATAATTCAATTAAGAATTGAATTTTCATATTGGTCCCTTGATGTTTTGAAGTTTTGACAATTTTTATCCTTTGATTTGTTTTGTCTTCAAACGATCAAATATGCGTCTATTTTTCCGTCTTTGCGTATTTCGTCTTTTGCCTATTTTTGTATTTCATAATTAAGCACGAATCCACGCAACCTGAAATAACTGATAATATTTGTTAGATAATATAAAACCAATTCGTCTTATTTCAGTGATGATCACATATAAAAACATTTTTCAACAATTTCCCCCTATGTGATCATTGATGAAATAAGGATAGATATAATCACATTAACGTTTTAATCTTGAAGATTTGGGATAAAAGTTTTGTCAATGAGAAGATATATATAAAACCATTGTAATCGTTTTGAAAGTTTGTGACTTGGTTTAACATATCTTATGTAAAAGATTTTCAGAAATTTGTTTCCGAATCAAAGTCTCGGGTTCGGTTATCAAAGGGTAGTCATATATGTATCTAAAGAAATTTCCTTAGATTTTATAGCATTATTAATGACGACAAGTGGTCTAACAGGTCGATTCAGATGAACGCTCATAGGTATAGCTCACACTTCACTTGGGTGTTTGGTTGTTCTGGCAGCAGAACAAGTTAATGATCACTAAAAATGAGTGATATCTCTCTCTGACGACTCACACTCATATTGGAGGTGTTCAGCTATGCTTTTCCTGTAAAGTCACTTAGTCTCATTATTAGATAATCAATCACATAAGACTGGTTTCGGCATTACTCAGCGGGTTTCTTCATTCATGCCATTAAAGTTCACTCTCTCTCCGTCGGGAAATACATGTAGAGGGGTTTAGCAATTTTCATAGTGCAGTTTGCAACTAAGATTCTTCAGTGATGAAGGCTACAGTATCCCGGGAAATCCATTGTTGTTGCAGCTTCTTCTTTGATAGTATCCTGTTTGTTGATCAATATCGATTTATTGTAAAAAGATTTTGTTTTAGCATTGAGAATTTGCTACATTTGAGACCTTTTTAAGAGTATTTGACTTGAGTGATTGAGATATCTTCTTTTGTGAAAAATGGTTAAAACAAATCGCGGGATTTTATGATTTTTGTTTTGAAATAACCATTTGGTTGAAAGTTTGTTTGAAAATACCAAATATAGAATATTTTTTTTTGTTTTGTTTGGTATATCTTTATTGAATCCATTTGTTTTCTTGTTGATTTGTCTTTGAGGATTAGATGTTGATAGATATTTGTTTCTCCTTTGGTTTTCTTGTAAGGATATGTCGTTGTTTGCTTGATGGATCATGGGATCGCAAGTCTTCATTTTTGGTTGGCTTTTATCTAGGTAGGGATAGGTGGCATAAAAGACAGTTTGTCTAGTATGTAAGAAATGAATGTATCGTCCCTGGTCATTTTGATATCTAAGCAAAAATGAGACCGTGACAAGGTATAATTGGGTATACCTTATAAGCAATAGTGACACACCTAAGCTCACAAGAAATGATTTCCACAATGATTTAGATCGACGAGGCACAAATTCTCACATGGGTTTTTGTTTTCATCTGAACCTCCTAACCTTATGTCCCTTGATTGTTTAAAATCGTCAATAATGAAATAAAATCGAAGGAAATAAAGTTATATACATTATGAAAAGTAGGATATTTGAACCTTCACTCCAATTGAGAATCAATATGACTTAAAATCTTCATCGAGCATAAGCATCTGAAAATTAAGTCAAGAGAAGATTAATCACAAGGTTCTATAAAAGCTTATTATGGCAAGTCTTTTATTAATTTTTTTTGAAGATTTGTTTTTCTGAATGTTTTTGGAAATATTGGTTATTTGAATGTTTTTGGTATTTTTAAAAGGAAAGCAATTTTCAATTGTTTTTGAATTTTCCTTTTGAATGAAAGTAAACACACTTTTGTACAAACAAAAAGTAAAAGTTTAAGGATAGATGTTATCTGGATTTAACATTCCTAGACGGCCTAGGAAGTATTGAAACTTTGTTTCATCGAGAGCCTTAGTGAAGACATCGGCAATTTGATCTTCGGTGTTGATGAAGTGCAATTCGATATGACCCTTTTGAATGTTGTCTTTGATGAAATGATATCGAATATCGATGTGCTTTGTCATGGAATGGTGAACGGGATTGTGAGAAATGGCAATTGCACTGGTTGAGTCACAAAATATGGGAATTTGTGAAATTTTGAAGCCATAGTCTCGCAGTTGAGTTTGCATCCATATGACTTGCGAACAACAGCTGGCGGCAGCGACGTATTCAGCTTCTGCTGTTGATGTGGATACACAAGTCTGTTTCTTTGAAGTCCAACTCACTAGTCTACCTCCTAGGAATTGACAGCTACCAGATGTACTCTTTCTATCTAACTTGCATCCTCCATAGTCTGAGTCGGTGAAAGCGTTCAGCTGAAAATCGGATTTAGCTGGATACCAAAGGCCAAGTTTGGGAGTGCCTTTTAGGTATTTGAAGATGCGTTTCACAGCAACTACATGGGATTCCATAGGATTTGCTTGGTATCTGGCACAGACACATGTAGAAAACATGATGTCAGGTCTGCTGGCAGTGAGGTATAAGAGTGATCCGATCATTCCACGATATCTTTTCTGATCAACAGGTTTGCCATTTAAGTCTGCATCGATTTTGTATCCAAAAGCCATTGGGGTTTTTGCGGTATTGGATTTGTCCATTGAAAAGCGAGTGAGTAGGTTTTTGACATAATTCTCTTGGTTGATGAAAATGCCATCAGTTGACTGTTTGATTTGAAGTCCGAGAAAAGTAGTCATCTCCCCAATCATGCTCATTTCAAATTTGCTCTTCATTAGATCTGCAAACTTAATACTCAAAGATTCATCAGTAGAACCGAAAATAATGTCATCAACATATATTTGTACGATTAAAAGATGTTTATTATAGATTTTACGAAAGAGGGTTTGATCGATTGAACCTCTTTTAAAACCTGATTCTTCGAGAAAGGTTGTCAATGTGGCATACCAGGCTCGGGGTGCTTGTTTCAAGCCATAGACAGCTTTCTGCAATTTGAAGCTGTGATCAGGAAATTTGGGATCTTCGAAACCTGGTGGTTGTTGGATGTATACATCGCGATCTAACTCTCCATGTAGGAATGCACATTTAACATCCATTTGGAATACTTTGAAGTTCTTATGTGCAGCATATGCAAGAAAGATGCGAATTGCTTCAATTCTGGCAACTGGAGCATATGTTTCATCGTAGTCGATTCCTTCTTGTTGTGAATATCCTTTGACTACGAGACGTGCCTTGTTTCGACAAACGATTCCTTGATCGTCAGTTTTGTTTCTGAATACCCATCTTGAACCTATAACAGAAACATCGGGTGGGGTAGGGACAAGATTCCATACGTCATTTCTTTCAAATTCTTCTAGCTCTTCTTGCATAGCTTTTACCCAGTCTGGATCTTTGAGAGCAGAATGTATGGTTTTGGGTTCAGTCATGGATAAGAAGGC